CATGGGTAGTTTATTCTATTATATTTCTCATTATAAATAAAATTTATAAAAATTTCATTACAAATACATTCATGAAATGTAGGATTTTTAACAAGCACTTACTAACCATATGCTATGTGGCATATTGTTCTGAATCTGGGGAACAATCCTCAGTATTGTATATTAACTTTTACCATAATGTAATAAATTAATATAGTCCAATATTTAGTTCTATATTACAGAAAAAAACTTATTCAATAAAACTCTAATGATGTAGTAACCCTATAGACTTGTTTATGACAACTTCACATTAGACAAAAATTAAAAACCCATGTATGGAATTTAATAGGCTGAAAAAAAAATGAATAGCCTTGAATATATTCTCATGAATTGAGCTCATTTGGACCACTTTTTTAAAACTCCAGTGTAAGCTGGAGCTCACAAAACTAAGAAGTGTAACACCAAGTTTTACTTGGCCCAGGCAGCCTTCTTCAGGGCTCCGTCACTTTAAAGATCCCCAAAAATACTAGTCACAAGCTAGGCCTGGAAGTAAATTCCATTACAACCACAGCACAGGGGATATTGAAGGCTCTTTTCTGCATGCCTTAACTTTTGGAACAAGTCAGAAATATGAAGAAAATCTAAAGGCTAGGTAACAGTGAAGTAATAGTCACTGTTTCCATAGAGGACTGAATTTCACCTATAACCATGAGGAATTCTCTCCAAGTATGGACAAACTGGAACTCAAGGAGGGGAGAGAAAAAAACATGGGTCAAGACTAGACCTTTAGACCAATTCTTAGCTTTTGACCCAGGCTTGAACTAGAGTATGGCAAGCGAGATAGGGCATAACACTCAGGAGGCACCTAACTGAGAGCTTCCTTAATTGTTAGACCTTGTGTGTCTCTCTCATGGACCCCCAGTGTAGGCCACTCGGTTTATAGCACTTTCAAGTCTTTTGTGTCAAGAAGTTCAATATGTCAAGACAAAGTTGATGACAAACAAATGGGTCTAGATTTTAGAAAGATATAAAAGGTGGAGAATATGCTCCAAAATGTTCAAAGAAAGAAGCCACCTCCTACCTAGAAAATTACTGCACACCAAAAATATGCAATGTTGTCTACCATCCAAACTAATTATGAAATAGTTCGTTTGGGACTTGCACATAATTTACCATTAAAGAAACTGGACTATCTCAGATGAAATTCAGACCTAAAATGTAACCAAAATATAATGAAAGTCTATTAAAATAGTTACTCTTAAAAGCATGTGATAACCTTACTCCTATACCGATCCCTATCTCTAATAAGGTGAAAAGAGACTCCAATATAATAATGAATTCTATTTCCTACGAATAACTTTTAAAGCTACTACAGTATAACTAAATGATTGCAATTGCAGGAGTTTTTGTGGTTGCCAATTTCTAATCAAATAACAATAGCCCCTCCGGGTTGAGTTAAATAGATATTTCCATGATAGAATCAGAATATAAAATTTTGCAAAATGAAAGCCCTTCAATGATGAATAATGACTCCTGGGACTCATTTGAATCTGAAGTACCAGAGAGGACACTTGGACCATCAAGTTCCTGGCTTAATTGTAACACAACTCACCGTTTCTAAAACTGAGTGGATTAATGTTACAAGCAGTACTTATTGAACACTTTTCTATTCTTGGGAAACTTAACCTTTCCAATTTAATACCTTTGATTGCCAAATTCATTTGCAAGTCAAAATAATACTGTTTAGTCTTGGTAACTTTCCAAAACTTGTGAGCCCAGAATTTTTAATACTGTAAGTTTCTTGAGGTCAGAAATTGTGCATTTCTTATCAACTTATTTTACTTATATCATTCCTATATACTACTATGATACTTTCTATATTTGTTAAATAATGAATGAATGAATGAGTGAATGAATGAAATAGGATATTCTGGTATACATTCTGCCTTTTATAATTGAATTCTCTATACTGAAAAAAATATTATTTGCTTTACGGTCATTGGGTCTGATTCATTATAAGGAATATCTACTTAGAGTTAAATTTGATATTAAAGCAAAGGTGAAAGAACGATTGTTATAATTCTGTAAGAATTCTTATCAGATGACAATGTAATAATTTATAGTACATTGAAAACATTAGGATACTTATCTAATCCCCCACTAAGTCCTTTTACTGAATGGATAGAACAGATATTTTTAAGTATCTTTTTGCTTTGAAGTGTCTTACAGGTTTTCAACCATTGATTTTGCATAATGACCACACAATCCTCTGAATAAATCAAGATCTGTTCCCACAGTACAGATAAAAAAAATTTAAGGGTTCAGAAAATATGTGAATTATCAAGGTCAGGAAATGTAAAACCGAGGTTAGAATTCAGATCTTTGATTCCCCATCCACAGTGTTTTCCACTATACTGTTACAATTGGCTGAATATAATAATGAGCACTGAGCATTTTCAATATTAATAGAAAAGAGATTATGGCCTCTAAAACTTTTATGTTTTATGATTGTTGACCATTTATACCCTTGATACCAACTGTCTTTAAAATACAGAACACCTTGAAATTCTTTCTTCTTTCCTCGAAGTGAATTACACAACTGTGTCTATTGGCAAGGCACACTCTATAAATATTAGCCACAAGCAAATATGCAAGGAAGCACCACAGAAAAATACAAGTACATCATTGCTGTCATCAAATCCACCCACTCTGTCACCAAGGAAAGAGGAAAAGTGACCTCCAAAGACACTGAAAAAGCAACTGAACTTACAGGGCAATGTTTACAGATCTGACCACGGGGGGCCTTTCACAATCCATTTACCATCTATGACTAGCTACAATGCTACCAACCTGTAGTGACTGTTCTCTTTGCCCTTCACTGACCATGGTATAAGTACAACCTAAGGATTTTAACTATCTTTAAAATATGATGCCCATCTAAAAAATGAATTTTGATACATCTTTCTTAGAGAGTTGAGTTTTTAAAGGGAAAGCAGGGAGAAAGATAAGTAGAGTACAATTTCAAAACAAGTGAATAACACAAGTCCCCATGGACTGCAAAAGAATTTTAATTCACTTGGTGAAGTTCAAGAATTATTTTTCATGCCTGGCATTCCTCCCAAACTCAGGCAAGTCATGACTGAGAGTGAGTAATGACTTCTACACCATGATATGATGGCTTATTCCTCCTAAAAATTTGTCATTCTTAGCTGTGCACTGTGGCAGACCCTTGAAATAGATCTGCCACCAGGAGCTAGAGGAACTGCTTTCACAGTAGTCTGTCCACATAATTAGATTGTTTGTGTTGTGGTTGCTGCTGTAGTAGAGCACTTCTTGTGATCCGGGGGAAGCTGGCTTCTAATCTCAGTCACATATGCCATTTTAAAGTAATCACTTCATTGCTCTGTTCCTGGGGTAAAATGGAGACACACCTATCCTCACCTCCTTCTGTAAGAAGAAAAAGATACTCCAGGTAATACAACTTTGGAGTCTTAGAAGACACCATAACCAAAAGTAATATTATTTCTATTACTGTTTTTTCTCCCTGAGGTAATAGAAAAATATTCTGGAGGTCTCACTAACACTAAACTAAAACCAAGCATTCACTTTCACAGTTTATGTCTAGTTACAGTATTTTTATGATGGTTTAGAATATTCTACTTTCTGGTTTTCTTGTTACAGTTAAACTGAATCCAGGAATATGTTTTTCTTGAACATGTTTGGAAATGATAAGTTTCTTATACTCCTTTTAGAATCTTCTCAATGTGGAAGGCTGAATTTGCTAACAACCCACTGATGCTACTATAAGTATCCTTTCCTTTCTGCTGGGGTGAATTTCTCTGCCTCCATTTCAATCCCCCCCCCCTTCCTTTTCCCACTACTATTCCTGAAGTCCACAGGAATCTATAGGCATTGCTTAGCCCTACAAGTGTCAGGACTGAAAGCCACTGAATCCTGAGTAACATAAGTGGAAGCTGTGGAAGGATCTAAGACATTTTTAGTTAACCCAGTGAGCACACAAAATACAAGCAGGACCCTCAAGACTATTCTAACCTATTTTTCTATTAACATATAGAGTGGCTTTTCCTATTTTGTCTTTTACAGCTTTTACTACTAAAGAAGCAGTACATGAGTTGCTGTGATTACTTAAACTTTATATTCATTACAGATGATTTTCCCTGGGAGTAATTTCAGACTTCTCTGATAACAAATGTCTTCACAAAGTTATAGAAAGTGGCAGAAGTCCCTTCAGGAATTACATAATTTGGTGGTGGGAGCAGAGGGAAGGACGATCTGATGTCCCATTCCTAGACTTTCCCCTCAGTTATAGGTACATGTAGACAGAATTATCAGCTGCTATCTGCTACAGAGTCTTAATCTGCAAAATGGCAATAAAATCGGGCCTTCTTAAAGAAGAGTTAAGAAGGGAAAGGAAAATGCTATGGCAATATCTACATAATGACCTGCAAATATCAAAATTACATAGATACTCTTCTAATTTTTTTTAAATGACATTTCCAAGGGAACATTCCAAAGAGCCATTGCAGAATAGGCACTAAACACACTATGGGCTGCAATGTGGTCCTGCACATATAAGCAACTCCTTTTTTCTTTTCTGTTACTGGGGGATCGAACTTAGGACCTCTCACTTTCGAGGCAGGCGCGGTGCCACTGAGCTAAATCCCCGGCGCAACTCCATTTTTTAGACCCACACTACAAGCAATAAAATCTAGGCACAGAGGAGCAATGAGAGCTTTTTAAAATATTTGTATTCTAGTAGTATATTTAAATTTGCATTTTTACAGGAACTGTGTCCATTCTTCCTGTTGGGCAAAAAGTACTTTAATTTTACTCAGAAAAAATAAAAATGAGCGTTTGCTACATCAACAGATGCTATGGTAAAGCAAACATTAATAGATTATCACTTTAGAACTACGTTCAAATCTGTATTTGCTTCGGAAGGAGTACCTTTGCCTCGCTGCTACGCCGTTGATGTCAGAAATAAGAAACATGAGTGGTACCTGGATGGGAGCATGGTTGATACTCCGCCGGCTGAAATACCTGCTTCGCTGCAGCACAGTCGCATTGGTAAAGCGCAAACCACTCTTCAGTGTCTTCACCACTTTGCAAGCTGTCAAAATCCTCGTCATTTTGAAGATGGATTGTGACTAAAGTTAAATGAAATCACATATATTTGGTGAGATTTTTGTTAAAAGATTGTTGAATTAATGTGAAAGAAGCTGGGCAGGGAGCAGTGTAAACAGGCTGTAAGCCTGACTGCACAGAGTTCTTTGGATTTCCATTCATTCTGCCATTAAATATTCACCGACAGCTCCTCCTCCTCTTAGCACCTCCTCCCGCAGTGATGCCCAGAGACATTTCATGAACATGTAATACAAATTGCAACACGTCCAATTCTACCTTCTCCGGCTGAAATAACGCTAGTGTGTTAGAAAACCAGTTATCCACCAAAGAAATTGTTTATGCAGCAGATAGAGTGACCTAAACTCTTTGACCAGCCTTACCCTAAAGAGTAGCAAGTTTCTAAAAACGGTGAAGATCAAAGGCTTTTACTTGTGGGTTTCCCCAAAAAGCCTAAGGCTCATCATCATTTGCTTGGAAAAAGATAATAGAAACCACATACAGTTTTTAAAAAATCAAAATACACTTTGAACCACAAATACACAGTAAACCCATCTTTGTTGTTTTGGAGGTTAATAGAACGGTGTCTTATATTCTTACTATCACATTTGTTTTGCTTCCTGAATTATTTTTTCCTGGTACCAGAAATTGAACTCAGGATCTTGCACTTGCCAGGCAGGCCCAGCACCACTGAGCTACAACCCCACCCCTTGTGTTCTGAATTTTAAAGTTACCAATATTATCAAGTACAATACTTGACAATGGAGAAAAGTAACATTATATCTATCATAAGTCTCTTAAACTTGTAAAAAGTACATGACACAACAGGTAAACACTTAAGCATGTCAAAATTTTTTATTTATTAAAATAGTGCTTATTAAATTTTTAAAACTTGAGCACTCGTGTTTCAAGAAAGCAAAATTGATTCACTTAACTCTTCAACCAGGGTCTCGTGGCTAGTGGAATCTCTTGCTTAAGTCATAGTTCTATGAAGAAGCACCGCAGACAATATTTTGACACCCTTGCAAAGGAGTCCAAGAAGTAAGAGCAAAGAAACTCCTTCCTGAGGCTTTCCACAACAGAAAAGAGGACTTACAGTGACATGAGCCTTGTAAATATGACTGAGATGAAAGCAGTGCTGAAGCGGGGGTGGGGATTGAGGTAGATGTTTAAAAAATAACTAAAACAGAACAAAGTTTAACCAAATCTTCTCCCTTACTGTATTAGTGCATCAACATTCTCTGAGGTCAAACTACATGGTTCTGGTGACTTTAAAAACTGAACATCATGGTCTCATACTAGTAAATATAAGAAATTAGTAAAATAACTAACATGGAAGTATATGAAATGCAATGGGAAAAATAGATAGGAGGGAAAACAAACAAGATTTAGTTCCTTTTGCTGTGTGGTCAAGTATGCAAGTACTCCATGTAGATGGTGTGCAGGAGGAAAAACAGGATAACAGAAGCAGCACCATGGAAGCATGGATTCATCTGGCACATTTTTTTAAACTGAGCCTGGAGACGCCTAGATGCAGGGTACATGAGTAAGCAAGCACCATATTACAGAAGACTTCGTGTTTTTCACAGACACTTGACTTTCACCCATAGTGTGTGTTCCTCATAGTTTTAGAAGTGTTTTCAATAAGAAATAAAAGTGAACTTCTGTTAAAGAAATATCATAGAAAATGAATTGGAGGAAGACAGAACTGGCAAGTGAAAAGCTCCAACTTATGGAATTTAGGACTGAGAACCAGTGCTATAGGCTTACTCTAAACCTAAACTGAGTGTGATGCAGCTGACTTGTAATTCCAGCATTCAGGGAGACGGAAGCAGGCAGACCACAAGTTTGAAGCAAGCCTAGGCAACTTAATGATTTAACAAGATCCTATCTGAAAATAAAACATAAAAAAGGGCTGAGGATGCACCTCAATGCAAAGGCATCAGGTTCAATCTCCAGTATAGAAAAAAAATTCTAACTAAATCTAATTTAGGTTTTGATCTCATCTCTTTCATTTTTATTTATATGTACAAATACATACATTTACATGTGTGTCAAAGACTGCCTTTTCCTAAGTAGAAAAATGACATAGACTTATTATAGAAAATGTTCAAGATGCAAAATAAATTGAAATAATTCATAGTCCTATTATTCAGAGGTACCCATAGAGTGAATATTTCAATATAGTTCCTCTCCACATCACTTGTGCTTTAATTAACTAGAAAGTTGGGATATTGGGGATTTCAGAGATTGACCATGAAAAAGATTTCATCATAATTTTTCATAGTTGACCTGAACATGGTTTTCGAGAAACAAGTCAATAAATCCAGGATCAAATTCTGTGACTCTGAAGCCTAGAGAGAAACATGGGGAGGAAGTTGTAATGGGCTTTCACTTCGTCTGTAAAGCATTCTGGATGCAGGCTCTGGCCCCGGTTTCCAGGCACCAAAATAAAGGGCACAGGGCCAGAAGATTTAGAAAACCTGGATAAATATTCTGAACTAGAAATGAAAAATTCAATCACTGTGATTCCACAATCATGGTGCAGAGTAAGCAGGCCAATTATAAAATAGCAAGTCATTTTAGAATCAAGTGTTCAGACAGTGAAATTTCCAAACTGCAAAAAAAAATGAAATTATAGGGGTGAGGAATTTTACATTAGGACAGAGCAAAGGGATGTGGCTTCAAGATTAATTGATAGGGGCCATTAAAGTCCAACATGAGAAAGTGAGTGGAGATATTACATCTTTACGAAAGGTATTTTTCAAAGCATTTCAAAGGAAGTGATTTTTTCCTATGTCCACAATCCTCTCCTCACAATTACCTACACGCAAACCGGTGACAAGTACACATGCATACGCAGAGCCTGGGAGAAGCTACATTTGAAAAAGTATTTGTGAACCAGGTCACTGAGGGGCCTCTGAGCACAAATCACTCACTCTAAAAAGTAAACTATTTCACATGGATTTAGCCCTCTTTTCTACTGATACATTTAAAGTTGTGGGCTATCTTCCTCTGTACAGTCCCACAGAGAAAAGTAAAAACTAAACACTTCTTAAATTTTATAGAGTAAGAAACATTCTAGTACCTTTTCATTTAATGCTGACAAAGTATTTCATTTCTTCCATAAATTGGGAATCCATTGATGTATGTCTATAAAGAAAATCCTTCTCTCTCTCTCTCTCTCTGTCTCATCATTTCTGTCTTTCTCTATCATATATATAAAACCTTGAAGAAGGAATTACTAAGGCTATTATGTTCTATTCCAAAGCCTGAGGCTTTTACTTTTTCAGGATGGATGGATAGACAGACAGATAGATAGATAGATGATTGATAGATAGATAGATAAACAGACAGATAGATGATTGATAGATAGATAGATAGATAGACAAACAGATATTCTTAACTAATACTGTTATTTAATGTTTTTTAAAAGTAATAAGAGTAGCCAATCTTTCAAATTCCCTAGAGAACTTAATTTTTTTTTTCCTGGTACCAGGGACTGAACTGAGGACCTTGCACTTGCATACAGAACTTAATTTTTAAAACTGCAGTTGAGATGTCTGGCATTGAGAATGATAACATATCAAGTATTAAGTTGTATTCATTTTCATTTAATACTTAAAGAAATTTGAAAAATACTGAAAACTAGATAATGGCCCCCTCCAATATAGCCTGTTAATAATTTAATATCACTTTTTTAGCATTTATGTCTATGTATTGCTCATAGTTATGAAAACTGATTGAACTGAATTATGCTTTTCTGACCTAATATTATAAATAATACATTCAATGTTTTTATACAGTTATTTAAAGACATTAATTGAATGAGATACAAAACATCCATTTTTATCGCTTCTGCTACTACTTCAATGCATATATTTCAATTTTTTATCAATATTGACAAATTTCATCCCCAAAAGAATGTACTTATCTGCATACCAAGTGCAATATATTACTATCTCTTTCAATATATACTCACTAACATCTTTTATTTTATTATCTTGTACTCTGTTTGCTTGAATACAGTAAATAGCATTTTGCTGTCTTTTAAAGTTTAGATTATGGGTGAAATTGAACACTTCAATATACTTTTAATTAATACATATCCTCTTTTGCCTACTTTTATTTTATCTTTTTGTTCCCATTAATTAATTTATGTTAATGATCAAAAAACATCTCTAAAGGAAACATAAAGCAACACTGATTACCAGACTGCAAATGTCCTAATTTCAAATATCTTCTTCATTTGGACAGTTCTTTGTCGTAAGTAAGGTAATGCCTGCTACCAATGGAAAAATTGAGAAAAGTAAAAGCCTCAAGTTTTGGAATGAATAGAAAATAATGGTGTAAGTCGTTACTTCTTCAAAGATACAGAAACTCCCAACTGCCCTCTTAAAGTATGTCTTACTAGGTGATGAAGCAGAAAAAAGCTGTAAGAAAATGAGCATCTATCAAAAAGTTAATATAGCAGATTTGCAAGATATGCTTTTGGAAAAATGACTAAATGAATTATGAATTCCTGTGTATGGGATTCCTGCCTGACAAGTGATGATTCCTTAAGCAAGAACAAACAAAATTATGTCTGATAGACAAAACAGGAAGAAAAGATGTTTACAAATCAGAAAAGAAAACTGTCAATAATTCCATAAGTCTATATCAAAAGCATAAACTTAAAGCAAGAAACAAGGTATGACTCCAGGGCAAATCATTCAGAGTAAAAGAAAATGCAGTAAGTCTCTGAAGAAAGTTCTATTCTATGTATGAGCAGGAATGCATGAAAATAGAATATAAAAGATAGGCGTGATTAGGTTCAATTCTATGATTTTTATTATCCAAAAAATCTAACAAGGAACACTGTCATTAGCAAGGACATGGACAAAGAAAGCTATCCTGTAACAGAAATGATCGTGATTGCTCCTACATAAAAGAGGGCATACTTTCTACTATTCAACAAATTAAGACAAGCTAAAAGAAGGATTCCTTAAGTTTGGCCAGGAAGAAAACATGAAGTTAGCTGTCTTAACACCTTATCAATATGTCAAGGACTGATAATGACAATAGTCAGCTATAAAGTGGCTAAAGGATGAGGTTTTTAAATAACCAGTGTCTTCAGAAACCCAATCAAGTAAGACATGTTCATTAAGATCCATTTGGCATTTTGAGGGATACAAAGCAAGGAACCAATTTTGATGAATGTGCTTATCAATCTAACACTTAATAATAGAAATGTTGAAGTGATACAAAAGATGAAAAATGAACCAGGAAAAGAGGCCTTGTAAAATTGTTTTCACACAATAAAACCCAAGGCACATGTGATTTATATCCTAGGACAATAAAAAGCAATCACTTATAAGACCCCAGTTTGAAAACACCTTAAAGAGATGAGTCAGTACAAACAGCAGATTGTTTTTATTTATAATGAGCAAGTCTTGTCACATTAATATTTGTCTTTAAAATGGCATTACTACTAGATAAAATAGAAATGTTAGATGCATTCTAACTCAATCTAAGAGCACCAAGGATGTATTGTAGAGCAACATTAGGCACATGGGCATTTACTAGAGAATGGAGAAATAAGCTACTATAAATATAAGAGGACAGAGTGAAGCAACCAGCGAATTAACCAGGCTCATTGCACATTTGAAGGTTGAGAAGAACAGAGTGAGCAATGCCATAGAAAGCTGATTTAGAATTTGGAATTCAAGTAACCTTTGAAGATTGAAGACCTAGTCACACACAAACACAGTAATGTGAAACCAAAGTAGAGTCAAATGTAAATTAATCCAGAAACAGGAAGAAAAACAAACTGCAAATAAGTTGTGGAGGAGTGATTATGCAGAAATGAGCCACAAAGTATATGTAACAATCATAATGATAGTCACAGCAATCTGAAATTATAAAAATCTATATATAGAAAGCAGAATTTAGATTGGAATTTAAGAAAAAGTGAAAATTTACAGAAATTTAAATATTAATTAAATTAAGTTACTAAAATGTTTTAACCATGAGATGACTATCAAATTTAAAATCATATCATGGAGGATTCCTAATCAGTCCTTCAATTTTTCTTAAAGTAAAA